AACACTCTACAATACTCCCCCCTTTGCCCAGTTAAAATCTCTCATCTGTTTTTCTTATTTCCCCTTTTATAACACCTAAGTCCCCCTTTCTCCCTCTCAAGGTCATCTCTCCCTCTCCATTTCTTGAACCCCGTCATCTACTTTCCTGGTTTCTATAGTCATTTCAGGGGATATACTTAAAACATTTGGAGCTAGGATTTGCAAATAGAAAAGAACTTTTGAGTCTGGCTTACCTCATTCAGTGTAATATTTCCTGATCCATTCCATTTTTCTTAGCAATTGAACAGAATTCTGTTGTGACTATGTGCCATATGTTCACTATCCAGTCATCAATGAAGGACATTTAGACTGTTTCCATTTTCTGGCTATTGTAAATAGGACAGCAATGAAAATGGTTGAGCAAGTATCTTTTGAGTGTGTGTATGCCAGGGAGTGGGATAGCCATGTCATTTGTAAATTGACTTCTAGTATTTTGAGAATTCTCTGCACAGATTTCCAGAGGGACTTTAAATTCCACCAACAGTTTTTTGTTTGTTTGTTTGTTTGTTTGTTTGTTTTTTTAATCTTAGCCACTTTGACTAGGGAAAAATGAAATCTCAAAGTAATTTTAATTTGCATTTACCTAGTTGCTAAGGATGCCATACAGCTTTAAAGATACTTTTTGGAAATTTTCTTTCTTCTGTTCACTCTATTCAGATCCATAGCCCATCATTTTTTTCTTGACTCTGTTTATTGTGCCCTTTATATATTCTAGACATTTAGCTTCCATCAGATGAATAAGTGACAAACATCTCCACTGTATGGCCTTCCTTTTAGCTCAATGGATTGTGTCATTTACTGTACTAAAGCGTTTTAGTTTTATGAAGTCCCATTTGCCAGTTGTTGGCCTTAATTTCCGAGTGAAAGGAGTTGTGTGTAGAGCCCTTTTCTGTACCTACATCTTGACATGTACTGCCTGTGCCTTTGTTTTAGCCATTCACACACTCAGGCTGCTCGTGTGCTCTCAGACATTCAGAGTTGATGGTTATTTTGGTGTTGTTGCAAGATGGTAAATATTAGTCTACTGTCTTCTATGTGTGCACATCCAGTTCTCCCAGCACCATTTATGAAAAAGTTTCCTTACTCCACCGTATATTTTTGGTGTCTCTGTCTAACGTTGGATAGTTTTAATTGTGTGTGCTCATCTCATAGTTGGGCTTTTCCCCATTAATCTATATCTCTGTCTTTGTGTCAGTACTACGCTGTTTTTTACTAGGGCAACTCTTTAATACATTTTGAAATTTAGAGTAGTAGACCCTTAAGCATTGTTTTTGTCTTTTTTTTTTTTTTTCCTATTTGGTGTTGGTGCTAGGATGCATGTGTGCATGCATTCATTCATGTGTTAACTGTTTTCCTTGGGATTGCTTTGGCTTTCAAGATTTTTTTTTTTGTGCTTCCACGTGGATTTTAGGATTTTTTTTTCTATGTGAAGACCGTCATGAGCATTTTGATTATGATTACACTGAATCTGATTTTTTTTTTCTGACAGTGCAATCATTTTCACAATACTGACTCTACCAATTCTACTAATCCTTGTGCATGGGAAGTATTTCCATCTTCTAGTATCTTTCTTAGCATCATCATGCAGAGTTTTAAAGTTTTCATTGTAGCGATCATTCACTTTGGATTTGGTTTATTCTTAGATGTATTTGTCAAATCTTTATAATATTCAAGTCTTGTTTAATAATATGCAATCTAATGAAATACTCATTATCTTTGTTATGTTACTTTTGCTGTGATAAAACACCAGGGCCCAAAGCAACTAGGGTAGGAAACTGTTTCAGAAGTCAAGAACCTGGAGGAGGGAACTGATGCATAAACCTTGGGTTAGTGCTGCTTACTGGCTTTCTCCTCAATACTTTCTCAGCTTGCTTTAAATCCAGGACTACCAGTCCAAGGGTGGTATCACCCACATTGGTTTGGGCTCTTCCACATCAATCATCAAGAAAATGACATACAGACTTGCCTATAGTGTTACTGGCACTTACCCGCTAGCCTGGTCCCTCAGCCTGTCAGCCCCAAATTACACAAAGAGGACTTGTACTAATTATGAAACTGTTGGCCATTGAGTAGCTCGGTCTTAATTATTAACCCATAATTACTAATATGTTTATTTCTACATGGTCTTATCTTACCGAGAACACCAGACTCACGTGTCCCCTCCTCTGAGATCACATCAGGACTCCGTCCTCCATTTCCCAGTATTCTCCACCTCTGCTAGCCCCACCTAGCTTGCTTCCCTGTTGACCTACAGTGCTTTATTCATTAACACATAAGGGAAGCATACTTACGGAATGGCATCTCCCATCACTATAGGTCAGTCTTTTGGAGGTATTTTCTCATTTAAGAGTTCCTCTTCCCAGATATGTCTAGACTTACATCAAGTAGACAAAACCCACATAGCACACTATTGAAAAGAATATGGGGTAACTATTCAATTTAATAAAGATGACATTTCAATACTAAGGAAAAATTAGTTATTTACCTTATGATATAATTGAAAATGGAGTATTTATTAAATAAAGGAGTTTGATTGTTTAGAAATTAATCATATTACTCTTCCCTGATAAAAATGATCCCACTTTCAAGTGAGTGAAGAAATAACTGAAGTAAAGGAAGCCTTCTCTTACTTTATTTTTTACCTCAGAGAGGTCTTTTGGGACATGAAACAAACAAATAAAAAATATCTGAAAGATGGTTTATTATAGTGATATTAATTTCAATGTCATATAGTATATCAAAATTGAAATAAATGGGGATTATTTTAATAAAAAATGAATAGGCTACATATCTTCAATGGCAAAGAAGTGTAGCAGACTTCAGTAGGTGAGACACTAGAGATGACTCAGTTGTTACAGTGTATGATGGATGTGTGTGGAGGTCTGTCTGTAATCTCAGTCTTGGAATACAGACATAGGGACCTCCTACAACCTGGCTAACATGACTGGCCACATCTTAAAGCCCCGTATGTGACTGAAATCTTGCCTTCATGAATAACCTGGAAGAATAATTAGGATGGATTAGTGATGTAAACCTTAGACTTCCACACATGGACATATTGCATGATTTAATGTGTGTTAATCATGTTTAATTGATTACATTTAACACATGTAACCCAGCTCACACATACGAAAATAAATATAGACACACCATACCTGCACATAAATGAAAGGACAGCATGCATGTGTCACACACATTTTGATATATATCCACACACACTTAAATAAAAATTACCAGCAGAGATGTTGAGTTTAGTCTTAGCAGTTAAAACAAAGCAATACAACAACAATTTGACTGTGAGAGTTGAGATTTTTAAAAATTAAAAATATGGATGAAGATATTAAATGATTTTTGTATTCTGCAGTGGGGGATTCTCTTTGGATGAGGTATACCTAGGGCTTTAACAGGTATCATTACCAATAAGTTCTTCTGACTTTAAAGAATTGTTTTAAAAAACTATTAGAAATTGGCAAAACTGATACCATGCAGGTATCCATTGTAGCTTTTAATTTCCGTGTTTATTTTGGTATCAGGCTAGTCTGTCCATCTGACTTCATTCTCATTTTGCTTTGCTTCTCTTACATTTTCTACGCTCTGTAGATAAGTACTTGGTGACTCCATGTAATTAAAATTTTGAGAACTTTATAAATGAGTGCTAATTGTCTTTATATCGTTTTCATCCCATCCCTTTCAACCCACAGCTCACCTAGTTTTTCAGTGTTTCCCTGCTTTTCTCGGGGTTATGTAAAATAATTTAGGGCTGTATGATAGTTTGTTCCACATCACAGATACATAATGAATCACTCTGCGGTTGTGTTACTAAATCATTTGTACTCGAGACTATGAACAGTTGATGAGTGGGCTCTGGTGAAGTGATGCCTTACACACTGATGGTGTCTGTGTGACGATGACTGGCTTTCTGAGACAAGCAGAGTCTGTCCTCACAACACAGGAAGCTGCCCGTCTCCCTTCTACCAGCAAAATGATCCCTCTACTTGCATGTTTCATTTTTACCTTTGTAAGGTTTATATTTTCTCTCAATTTTTAAAATAAAAGAGCATTTTTATCTGTTAAGCAAAAGGTGGTAATTTACTTACTTTAAGTGGCTAGCAAGAATTTGCTAAAGTGTGGCAATTATATTTAAAATATCAAAATCTGTATTGATAAGGCTATTACCTAATCTAACAAGCTCAAAGCTAAAGTAACAACTGGCACTTTTGGAGATTTTTGCCCATTTGTGTGATCCACTGTTGAACACCAGTGTAAGAGAAAACATTTTAACTTTGTTTCCGAAGTTAAGCTTCACGGAAAAATGTGAGGTTTCTGATTAAACATGTTTAAAATTACATTGAAAACTTCGTTTTCTGTCATGCTTGCTAAAGATTGTTTCTCTTATTATCCAACATTCCTAGCTCGCTGACTTCAGCTCTTCCTAAATCTACAGGCATCCTAATTTGGAGCCATTATATAATGAAAACATTGGGTGTAATTTCTTAGGTCTACAGTTCTTCATTGCCCTTAGTGCAGATCTTTACACTGTAGCTCATGATTATAATTTGCATAAGTGAAATTCATATTTATGAGTACAGATCTTGAAGCAACTGACAGGTGCAAGGTTGTCTACCATGCCAATTTATTGTTTGTCATGTCATTTAAAAGATAACTGCTCCCTATATTTTAAAGAATACATGCTCTGGTTGAATTACAATCAAATTCTAAAAGTGGATAGAACTCAATTTTGTAGCGTTCCACTTTTATTCTTTTCTATATAACTTGGGCGTCTTTGTGGCAGTGATTGTTTGAATATGTATTTACATGTTGAGGATGTCCTTTGACACACATGCAGCCTTGGGTTCAGCCTCAAACACTGCAACAAAAGACTAAAAGCATCTGACTCAGCTGCTGCTATCTACTAGTGAACTCTTATTCTCTTCATTATTTCTTCTGACCCCCTGTTTCAGGGTATGCATGAGCTACTAGCACCTATCATCTTTATCCTTCACTGTGACCACCAAGCTTTTCTACATGCCAGCGAGTCTGCACAGCCCAGGCAAGTTGTTACATGAGTTTGTGTGTATTTTCTGCCCTCACTGGATCTTTTGTTATGTTAAATCACAAATATTTTCAAATTGAAGCTTCTTTAGTTTTGTATTCTATGAATAATTGGTTGTATTTCATGAGACTGATCCATTTTAAATTCTAATGCTGGTGTAGATATATGGCAAGTTTGAATCATGTCTTTGAAATGTTAAGGCTGTGTCAAATGAAGACATACATGTAATGAAGCAAAAAGGGAATGTCTGTCATCATTCCAAGCTGCTGAGAGTGGATAATACTCAGGCATGCTGTGCTCTAAGTTTTTAGTTGAATGGGAACTTTCTGTGCTAGTTCCCCAGAATGGTACTGCCAAGCACACTGCTCTGGAAATAGAGCAGCTTTCATGAGATACATTCCCTTAGTCTTTCTTGTAGATAGCTTTTATAATAGCCATTAACTTTGGTAACTGTTAAAACGTAGCTTTCTAACTTGAAATACCAGTGAAGCAACCAAGAAGCAAATTATGATTGGTAAGTTATAGAGTTGCCAGGCATTGTCAAAAGTATCCAGTCTAAACTATTTGGATGCAGGAAAATACACCTGCTGATAACTGACAAGTGTTTGTATGACCCTTCCTAGTCAGGTGAAGATGTCTGTTTTGCTGAACACAGGCCCAAATTATATTAACCTTTGTCTACTAAAATATGTCTACTTTTCTAATTTTATTGATTTTATCATACATATCTTGACACAAGTAACTTACCTTTTAACTGCCTTGAGTTACTCTACAATCTCATGAAACTAGTCTTGAGATCATGTTTTCATGCCAGTTTTATTTCTGCCACTGTTGCATGTAAAATACATTCATAAGAACATAGAAGCAATTGGAAGTAACTTCAGAATGAGCAGACTTTGGTATTTTAATCCATTACAAAGTAGAGCAGCATTGAGTAGATTTGCTAAAGGTGCTGTTGGTGACTAATGATGTTCAGATGAAATAAAGAAAGCAATAAAACACTTTTCGGTATTTCATGCTTAATTGGTAGAGTTTTGTTTTCTTTAAAAGAAAAGTGATATATTATAGATTAAAAAATTATTCTAGATCAAACTTTGTCAAGGAATATACTGTCACTCTTGCCATACACTATCAGGAATAATTAGATGGTTACTTCATTGGACACAGACAAGCAAACAACTTCTTTCTGATCTTTATAAAGCAGAATTTTGTTTGTTACTGGAGTTGACCTGTCAAAGGCTAATGTTTTAATTGCACATTGGGTGTAAGTTAACTTAAGAATACAGAGTATGGCAGAAGCTACCTCTATTATTAAAATTTGTTCATGTTGATTGCTTTAATTTTCTTCTTTTTTTAAGTGAGGAAATGAAAACTCTATTGAACCCTGAGTATCTGGAACATGACGCCTTGTAAGTACTGTAACTGTTACTTTTTCTTTTGTAATACTATCAGTACTTTAGTGAAGATTAAATATAGAATTATTTTATTTTTCCAATTTTTAGTGCAATGTTCTCACAGCTTATGGAAACTGCTGAACCTTGGTTTTCTACTTTTGAGCATGATGGTCAAAAGGTAACTCTTTACAGTACAGATGTCTTCAGTACACTTGAGTTATTTATTAACAAGTCCAATCAATAAAAATGTACACTGGAATAGTTATTTTGCCGTAATGTATTTGTTCATTTTTGTAATAAAATACAAAAATACTTAGGTTGTAATAGTGAGTCTTGGTATCTATAACATATTCTAATGATATTGGTAGACAAACATAAAGATTCATATAAGAAAATAAAGCCTTTCCTTTATAAATGCATATTACTCATGCAGTATATCTATTTAATTATAAAATTATTATTTTTTAAATCTTTTTTAAGTCTTGTCTTTTTGAGACAAGGATTTAATATGTAGTTAGTAATTCATAGAGATCCGCATGCTTCCGCCCCCTGAGTATCGGGATTCAAAATGTGTGCTTCACCTAGCTATTATAAACTTTATATTGCTCTCATGGTGAGGTTTTTGTTTTTGTTTTTTAAATGCATTGCTGTTGGACCACATTGATAGATATGTGTGTCTGACAGATTGTCTTTCTTTAATATCTATGTTCTTTACTCTTTATTTTACTTATTTTCATTTTTGTATTGAAGTCCTGTGTAAGGTTGAAATCACTCAGGAATAGCATTTGAGCAAAGGATAAAATTTAGACTTTTGTATATGTAAAAGGATCTTTGGCAGAAAAAGCATAAACTGTATTGCTTGAGTATTAGACTTAAAATCAGCTGTAATCTTAAGAATTACTATGAAGGGATACAACAAATGCCAGTATCAGAGACATAGAAATGAAGGACTGAAGGTCAAAAAATGGGTCAGGCTATGGCATCCATGAAAATTTGAAGTGATGGAAAAAGGAGATTGAGGGAGGGCCTCACACAGATTTTATTTTAAGTACTTCTGCGGTGCAGTTGTTAATCTCTTCTCAGCTACTTAAATTAACAAACGGACAGAGAAAGAACATTTCCTTTCCTAGAATGATTTCTTTTGTCCTTTCCCCTTTTGTGTAGTTTTCATTTAGTGCTTCAATTTTAATTGCCACAGAAATACACTTCCATCAAAGTGTTGCATTTATATGCTGTGGCCAATCAGATCAACTGACCAGGGGCAGCTTGACACGCTTAACTGCCTCTGGCCAAATTCTCCTGGAAAATTTAATGTCACATGAGGATAAGATAATTAGAAGAGTCGTCTTGGCTATGGCTGTATGGGCGCAGCGTCCACCTGTCGGCGTATGAATGTTATACCTTCATTCTGACAGAGTAGTGTTGGTTCTTTAGACTCCTTTACATGGATAAATTAAAAACCATAAAAACCATTGTCATTGTTTTCCAATTTCAGATTGAAATAATACATGTTTTTTTTTTTCTTTTTTTATTTTCAGGGAAAAGAAACTCTGATGACCCCCATGCCCTTTGCTAGACCACAGGATTTAGGGCCAACAGTTGCCATTGTTACCAAAGTCAACCAGATCCAGGACCATCTCCTAAAGAAGCATGATATTGAGCTCTACATGCACTTGAACAGACTAGAAATTGCACCACAAATATATGGGTTGTAAGTTTTAAATTTCTACTTTGGCTCTGGCTAGTTACTATTTTCTGATAGTTTCTGAATAGCTCAGATCCCTAAAGGTAAGGACTGACCTAGCTGTCATTTATGCCCCATGCCTAACCCATTCTTTTCATACATGGTATCTCCTCAGAAGTAGGTGCTACTCCTTTGTTATAGCCGAGGAAGCTCATCCTGCTAGACTAGCTTTTTACCTTTTAAACAGTGAGGTTATAGCTCAAACCCAGTCATACTGGTTATGTAGTTTGCAGGGTCTCTTTAGAAAAATATGTTAGAGGGTGTTATTCAACTAAGCAGTCTGTGGAAGCATGGGATTGCACAGGTAAACACACATGAAGCCAGGCCTGAAACCCAGAACCTCTAGACTGTCTGGTCTCAAAATGCCTTGGATTTCCCTCTGGAAGAAAAATGCCCTTCGCAGTAAACAAGCTGTATTACTTCTGTAGCCATGTGACTTCTCTAACATGCTAGCAGAAGAATAGGGACTCAGTTATTCCTTAGGTTGGTGCATGTGTGTGTACATGCGTATATACGTGCGTGTGTGTGTATGTTTTCCTGGTGATTTAATGTGGCATATAGGTAAATTAGAAAAAAATAGTTGTTTATTAGTATGTTAGCTATGTAAAGCTGTCGATCAACACATTTTTTTAAATGCTCCTTTTGTCTTCATCTACTGCTGAGCAATGAGCAATGTTATGGAACACCCTTTTATGAAGCCTAATTCTCAATTAGGCTGGACATTGAAAAATAAGAATACTGCTGAAATGTACATAGAAATGTCTCAGTAATTATTAGTTTTGAAGTATCTCAAATGAGTCAAGCTTGGGGCCAGAATGAGGACTGTGTTCTTAAACTTACATAAATCTCAAATAAGTGTTTTGTTTAGATTTTCTTCTCAGGGAGCTCTGAATTCTGTTGAAGAAGTCTGCTCTCATGTGTTTATAGGGCTGCTTTTTATTTGTGTTGTTTAGCTTTGGCATCAGTGAAACAGCTCTGTTGTCCCATTAGGCATGACGAACTTTTGTGTATGGTCATTGGGCAGCACAGGGTGATATTAAAGAATTACCATTTAAAAGTGAAATAATATGTGTGTCACTGTAAATACTGATCTTTAATTTAAAAGGTCAGGAGTTAAATTCTATTTTCCTTTCCATGATGCAAAGAATTGGTATATACAAAATAGATGCATATTAATGCCTCAAGGAAAATTGTAAGTATAAAGAAAAGATGGTTTGGGTTGTTTAAACTCCTTTTCTTGACTAAATTGAAGACTTGTGTCCATGTTTCCTAATTTTAGTTATTGCTAGCAGGAAAATAGGGTATTTAATACTATAGAAAGAAGTTACTATTTAACATTGTCATCATTTCTTTGTCTGAACTGGTGATTTACTGTGCAGTCTAAATATACTAATTTATATCTAGAATATTCCAGTACCAAACAATAGCTTATTTTTACATATTTTTAAATTTTCACCCTTTAAATTTTTTACTTTAAAAAAACTTTTTACACAATATATTTTGGTCCTTATATTCTTATCCCCACTCCAACTCCTCCTAATTTCCACCCCTATTCCACTTTATATTCCTTCTGTCTCTAAACACACACTAAAACAAAACAAAACATACATGGAGTCCATTTAGTGTTGGACAACTATTACTGAACTTGAGTCTTGACCTGAGATGTAGCTGATGTACAGAGTGTCGTGATGTTAAAGAAAACTTGATTTCCATTTTCCAATAGCTTACTGGCTGGGGGCTGGACTTTGTGTTCACTTCCCCTTCTCAGTGCTAAGACTTTGTCTGCTTGGAACTTCTGTAAGTCTTGGACATGTTGCTGATCCTGTGCATTCATGTCTGTTGTGTCTTTATCATCCTCTTCCTCATAGATCCCTGATTGAGCTTTGGGGAGAGGTTATTGACATCAGATATTATTTTCTTTCTATTTTATCTTTATTATAAAAATTCCTAGAGCTCATTGGATATCCGTGTAATCATTTTCCTGTTAACACTACGTGATCTATGATGGGAATCCTTTTTCCTTTTACCTTATAGTTATTACTAACAATATTGTGGCTTGCAGTAACCACAGTTGCCTCATGTTTCTCATTTTAGTCCAAATGTCATCTGAATTATCTTTAATTATGCTTTATCTTTGAAAGAGGACATGCTTGTTTTATCAATATTCCTGTTTAAATAGTCCTGTACAAAGTTTTTCTCACTTACTTGCTTTACTTACTGTGTGGGAGGCATATAAAAAGACCCTAAGCCATATTACCAATTTATGTATTTCTTAATGGGTATATTAAAAAAATCAGGAAAATGTATTTGTGTGTGTATGTATACAATAGGAAACATAAGCTTTAAAATCAAATCAAACCTGTTTAACTGCTTTGATCTCTAATTTTGTTATCTGTGAAATGATGTTTGACAACAAAGGTATTTGCATCTTAGTGTACTGTGAGAATTAGGTGGTGATGTACAAAGTGCACAGTGCTTAGCTCGTGTACAGTAAACATTTCAGTGTACATGTGAAAGTACTTGGTTATCATTTCTATCCTTACCATTATTTCCTTAGGATATTATGGCTCTATGAATATAACACACTCTGTGATTTAGAAACCCTTCCAACTCTGTCTTTAGCTTTCTGTACTCATCAATAAATACGCAGGTTTCTAATTACAAGGAAATGTGGAACCCATCTTCTAGCAGTGCTTTTTTTAAGAGATGTCATTTAAATTGAAAGTAGAGTTTTAAAATGGTTATATCATCTTGGCACAATAATATAGATTTGTGCCTAATGGAAATAAATTAAAATACTTTTGTCTTATCCTATAATATATACACAGCATCCATATAAAAACTTGCTTATTCTACCATTTGTTGTTGCTGGAAGAAAGTTAATTTTACATTCCTTTAATATGTAAAAATATACTCTAAAGTTTGCATAAATACAACAAAAATACAGTGATCTAATTTCAGTTAGTGAAAATAATTTTGTGAGCATAAAATCAGAATTGTTGACTTCCTTGTTTATCATGTAGTTTTGCATGTCAGCTCTTACAGAATTTTCATTTTGAGACAAACGTGTGGTTTTTAGTGAGGTAAAATATTTTGGCAAAATTAGGAAATGATCCGACACAAGTGTGAGCAGTAAAATTGACAATAAAAAATGTTAGCAGCACTAACAACTTGTATAGAATGAAGACTATACCATAAATATGTTTATGTTCAAAGGAAATGTGTTAGAAATCTGAGTATATCCTATTTTGAATACTGACTTCTAATTTTGTTACTATTTACTTTATTATGATTCATTAAAAAATTTTTAACCTGCCTTCTAGTATAATAATAATACGAATTTTGAAGAAATTTTGCAACTACTTCATTTTTAAAAGCAGGTTGAAATTATATGAGAAGGAAAATAAGCCATCTATTCATGTTTACTACATTTACAGTACATGTATTACTAAGAAAATAAACTTGTTTAACATAATAAATATATAGAATTAATGATTACTGTAAGAACAATTGTGTTAACATTGGCTGACATCATTCAAATTGTTTTTATCTTAATTTGGGGTTAATTGATGATATTTATCTTGAAACTCATGACCCATAGACTCCTGAGCATTAGTTAATATTTTGCATGTTAATCATATTATTGCAGTAATACAAAATAATAAATCCTAAAGGTAATTTACACCATGTTTTCTGTTAGTGTTAAGAATGAATACTCCTGTTGTACTTGAAGTCATTCAAATAATTAACATAGGGTATCTTTTGTTTGGCAATTAGAGTTTAATACTGGGGCATTTTTAATAAAACAAGCTTTGTGATAGCTCTCATGCAGTAAAAATTAACTTCATTATCGATGCCTTCCATGGTTATTCTTTATGTTGCTTTTGTGGTATTTTTATATCTATATTATATGAATAAGGTCTTAAAATTTCATAACATGGTTCTGATTATAGAAAAACATGAAATGTGTGTGAATTTTTCTCTGATGTCTCTGAGGCCAACAGATACATAATCACTACTGGTTCATATAAGCATTTGGCAGTACGGTTTCTTATTTCTATCATAATATCCACTTATACTGAAAACAAAAACTGAAGTTTAAACTGTTTTTCTGCTTTAGTAATCTTTTGTTATAACCTAACTTTTGACTGTATTTGACATTCTGGCATAAATGAATACATGTTAAGGACTTGTGGGGTATACATGTAATATTACTTTTGAGGAAGAGTCCTCATAACATGCTTGGTCTTCAGCACTCTTAAATTATGGACTTCAAATTTCCAACACTCCTGAGATAAATTCTCTATCATTCAAATCCTTACTATATGTCTCTGTCTTATTTCCTGGGCTTAACAGGTATTGCACTGTTTAATTAGGGAAGATTTTTGATTATTGGTAAATCTGTTTAATATTGTAATAGTATGTATGTTGTAATATACTGATTCTTCACATTTCATAGTGTAATAATCTGAGTACTCAGTTTCTTTAAGTCTGTACTTAACATAGGAACATGTGGTTAAATTCAGAAGTCAGTATAATTATTCACCTAAAATTGTGTCACTGCACAGTTGAAGTAAATAATTTCATAAGGTCAGTTATTCATTAAAATAGGATTTTTCTTTTCAGTCTGGTTTACTGTATACATCAAACATAAGATATATAATACATGAGAAATTAAATAATGGCAATCCACTTTTATCTTGTTTTCATAACCTACTGAATCTTACCCTCAATTATGCCTTTCATAAACCTTGCTTTTTCTCCTTTAGTATGAAAAACTTAGTAAAAATTATAAGGAAGAATAATCAATATTTGAAGTAATAATGCAGAATTACAAATATTTGTTGTTTCCTATGAGCTAATCCTTATTCTAAAGACTTTATACAGATCATCTTGTTTGTCTTCACAGCACATTATATTTCCAGATTTTAAAAAAAAGAAAACGAAAACAGGCTTATTTACATCAG